ATTGCTACGGAGATATTGCACTTTTTACATGAGATTTCATAGTAAGCCAAAATTCGACAATTCATTTTTTCTATTACTATAACATTCATTTAAGAAATAACCTAAAATTGCAGTGCCTCTGCAGTAATAAACTATGGATACAGTTTCTACCTCTACAATTCAACATTCCTTTTAGATCGTGTTTCAAAAAAAAATAAATATCTAAAACTAACTTCTTGAACAGCCCATTGTACTAAAATACGATTTTCTCCTTCTTCGGGAGGCATACGTAATAATTTTGTTATACTTGTAGCAAATTCATGTAAATTACGACGAAGTAAACGATCAATAAGAATATGTGAACCAATCAATTCAAATCTATAGAAATAAATTAATTATTATAAAAAATTAATTATAATTAATATATAACTGTTTATATGTAATTGGCATTGAAATATTAATATGTTGTAAATTATTAATTAAACGTAAATCACGAATTACATTTGTACATAAATCATTAATTAATGATACAGTTGGACGAATAGAATTTTTAGGATTATTTAAATTAACAGATAAGAATGCACGACCAAATAATGCAGCCTATTTGTTTAAGTTATACAAAAAAAAAAAAAAAATTTTATCTTCTTTGTTAAATCAATAGAATATCGTTTACTTTAAGTAAAATTTTTTGAATAGATGGATCTTGTTCATTTGATGCTCCTGCTATACATTGTTTAACAGCTTCTTCAAGTCCATTTGTTGATCGAGATGATTTTAATTGATTAAGTAACATTTCAGCCATTTGATTTTCATACTATCAAAAAAATTTTATATTATTAATTGAATATAGATATATATATACACCTTACTTTATAATCCATATAAGCTGAATAGAGTTTTGCACCTGGACTATTTGATAGAAGATCAAAAATATTAAAAACTTCATCTGGTAAACGTTGAAAAAAATCAAGTGTTTGACCAGATATTATTCGAACACCATCGATTTCAGTTGACAACCATACAGGAGAAGTATAACATAGACTAAATCGAAAGAAAACAAAATATATTTAACAATATATTCCGGAGATGATATTTATCATTTTGAAATAGAGTAATGTACAGGTATAACTTTTCATACTCATACTCCGATCTCATTAGAGCCCGCTGGATTCGGAACCAGCCCGATAAACTCTAAATCTTATTCGTACTCAATTCATATAGGTAGTTCAACAATGTAAATGCGTTGTTTTTCTTTTTTTGATTTAGAAAAAATAAAATAATAAAATAAAAACTATCAATTCAACAAATTAAAAGATATAGAAAATTGAATTCTATAATAAACGAATAGTCTAATACTAACGTATCATTAGTAATTGCTTGTTGACTTTTTTCACTACAAAAATACAAAATAACAATAAAAATAAATAACGTAAATAAAATGATACAAACGTCATTGATTGTGAATGTTTGCCATTAATAATAAGTAAATCAAACCAAGTTTTTGAACTTGATCGAATACCAATAACAGTATCTGATCCACACCTTTAAATAAATTTTGCATTGAAAAAAAAAGTTTTTTTTCTTTTTTCTAGAACTTCTATTTTACCAAGCAATATCAGTAATTTTATTTTTATCATTATTACTTGTATATTTTAATATAAATGCTTGTGGTTGTCCAAGATTTTCTTTTAATCCAATTAATACATCACCATTATCTTTTAACATAGCAATACTTTTATAATTACTACTTGATATTAATTTAACAATTGTATCAGTAATACCAGGAATTGTTTGCTACGAAAAAAATAAAATAAAAAGCTTTCAAAAAAAAATTATTTTTTTTTTTCACACTGAATCTCGTCGTGATGATATAGTACTACATGTTACTATAATATTTTCATAAGCATAAGCAAGTGTTATATCAGCATGATCAATTACACACCATGCTGATATTACTGAACGAGGATCCAGATCTATAAATAAAATTATAATTTGATGAAAAAAATGCAGACCAAAAAAACAAAAATATATTTACTAAGTGATATTGTTTGAATAATTGGAAGATAAACATTTTTTACAGCTACAAAACCATCTTGATTTTTTCTTAATGCTACTAATCCTGTACCGGAATTTGTTTTGAATGTACATGCACTACTGATTGTTGATACAGACTAAAATTAAGAAAAAAAAACAAACTAATTGATCACCATATAATTATCTTAGAACATTCTGAATACATAGAAATGTGCAGTTTTAATCCCTATGAATATATGCTCGTGTTTCTAGTAGAAGAAATCTATTTAGTATACTGAAAAACAAAGCATTTGAATTTTTCGATGATGTTTTAATTCTCATATCACTATTAACGGGATAGTAACTCGGTCCGTACGTGAGACTTGTCCGAATTCTAGTTTGTTACAATAGCAATGACAAAATTAAATTATTTTAAAGACATTTTAGACCTATTATTAGTAAAAATTTCATTGATTTTCGTTTAACTTGAACACTGACCATTTCGGAATTTCATCCTTGTTCTGAAAATTGTAGTTTGGATAAGAATAAAAACAATCACATATTCATCACCAACAACAGAATCTGCATCAAATGGTGAAATTTAACGAAAAAGAAAAATTGCAACTTTTTCGTTCCGAGAGAAAGAGTTTTGATTAAATAAATATTCCAGAATTTGATGTTAATTCAAAATATGTGTATACTTATGAACAAAAAAAACAGTATAAAACGCTTAATGGTCTTAATTCGAATACTAATGCAATATTTCTAGAAAACGAATGCGAATATCACACTCAGAACGGATATGTTCAGTGAAGCTTGTTGAGTTCTATCTGAAGACGGCGTTTTTTATTGCGAAATTATGCATTACCTTCGTTTGTAAACATCTAACATTTGCATGAAGATCATAAGAACTTCTTTTCTGTTAATCGACACTTATTTGACCATGTATTTCACTATTATCTTTTGTACACTCTAAGATAGACTTTGGGTGTCTAGAATACTCAGATTATGTAGGGCCTATGGCAGTAAGAAAACGTCTAAGAGGATTAGTGCCCTTGTTGCTTCTTTCGAAAGTTATGATCGTTTTACTGTCAAATTTGATTTTTTCGATAAACATCTACGAATGGCTCGAAAATCTGAAAAACGGTCATGGGTTTCGAAAGAAGCAATAAGGATACAAATTCTCTTAGACTTTTTCTTACTACAATAGGCACTACAAATGAATCAAATACGAAGATAAACGGAGCGGATCACTTAGGATTGTTCCCTCGTCAGCTTTCGACATTTTTAAGTTCGAACTCTCCCTATGTGTGGGTAACCGATGACTGACCATATCGATTTATTAAATCATTTCTTTTTTTCTTATTATTCTCTGTTTTCAAAATACTTGCAACTATGTTTTACAAATCCAATGTCCTCGTGTACTTTGGAGGACTATATTGACTCTGATAAACTGTTGTTATCAGTATACTCTATTACTCTTCGCTCAGACAAGGGCGAAGTTCGATCTCTTATTATGTGTCTATAGTATTAAAATCATACTAACTGGTGTGTGTACGGACTCCAAATGATGATATGAGAATTAAGGATTTGATCCGAACTAATAGAATGATTATTAATTTGAATTTTATTTTAAAATATTTTTAAACTCATCAAAGTTGAACGATAATCAAATTGAAATTTCTCAACAGAGAAAAATCATAAAATGAAAACGTATGGTTTATTTTTCATCATGTTTGTTAATAGTCTGACGTTTTTTTTGTAGAAGAATAAATCCTCATAAACACATTGAAATTTAGTAATCATTTTGATCACACAAATAGTGAATAATTCATTACACATATAATTATTCTAAGTTTTAAAAGATTTAAATCTACCATTGCCGCAATAGTATTTTTGAAACATTTTCTATACCACTGTGATTTTAAGAAAAAAAAAGTGTCGCTATGGGATGAACTTCTCATATTCGTTTAAGTTATTACATAATAATAATAATTACCTCACTAAGTGTAATTGATTTATCATTACTTGTATTATAATGAAATATATCCATAATATGATATTTACCATCTTCAGTTACCAATAATAGATCTTCATTAATTGTCCAATCAACAAGTATAAGTACACCTCGATCAAACTAGAATATTAATTAAAATAAAATAATAATTTTAAATAATATATTTGTTTTTTCTCTAACTTCTCTTAATTTCATATTATGTTTGGGTAGATTTTGTACAATAACTGTATATTTAACATCATTTGATCCTGTTCCTGATCTTTTATATACAGAAGCTAAATATTTATATGTATGCAAATATTTTTTTTTTTCTTGTAATCATATGAATTCAAAAATAATTAATATTTACCAATAGGTCCTCCACATGGAGCCATAGTGACAAGTGGATTAACTGTTGTACCAGTTGAACTACTAAGATCTCGAAATTTAGATGAATAATCAACTATTGTACTTGTTTCTGTTTTCCTACAAAATAAAAAAAAAACATACTATTCATCTAAATTCACAAGAGAATCTTTTCATTTTTCTATCGTAAAATATTCAAAATTCTCTCATATGTAAAAGTTTAATATAGAATTCTAATACAAAAAATAAAAAACTCTTCATACTTATATGTAATATCATCAAAAACACGCCACGAAGCAGTAGCATTTGCCATTTGTTCATTCATCTAGAAATATACAAAACAACATCAAATAAAACAACAACGATGACTATTGACTAGAATTTTAAAGAAAAATAAATGAAATTTAATTGATATATATATATTTATCGTTTTTGTGATTTAGCTAATTCTTTTGTTTGTTGTTCAGCTAATTTATGAAATAATGAAGGATCTTCTTTCCATTCAGTAAGTAATATTGGTCGATGAGGTTCATCAACATCTTCTAAATGTGTTATATAATAATCAATTTCAATAAGTATATCATATAAATTAATTGAATTTATTGGATATGATTGCCAACGTTGAAGTATAGGTAAACATGATATTATACCTGATTCATCAACAATAGGACTATAAATAGGTGTACGAAATTTAACACGAGGTGTTGTTGTTGGATAATCAAGTGGTAAATTTATTTCTAATTCAAATTCACCACCAATATAAGGTGATTGTTGTGGTGTATAAATAAATATTGGATGTGTTAAATCTGTTTCATGAATAGCATCACATGTTGATGCATCAAGTTTTTTCTTAATAGAAAAGAGATGATCGGATTGAAATGATTCATCAATATGAGCAAGATCTTTTAATAAACGTATATGTTTTGATACCATCTAAAAGACAATATTCAAAATTCTCTATATTTTGTTCATATATATATATATTTATTTGAGTTTAAAATTTTCGCATCCGATCGGATCGTACTTTGACATTATGAATAAAATTTTTTTCCGATCTGTTGTATTCGATGACTAATGCATCCTACACAGTTCTCAGACGACTAGAATTCCATCAGATACAAAACTTTCGCATCCGGACCCGGTTAACGGAAAATTTTCAAGCCTAAACTCGGTCGTGGCTCGACTCCGGGACCAACCCAATAGGCTCTAATCTTGTCAATAATATAAAAATTTCCATCTTTTGTTAGCAAACCATAAAAGAAAACAAGAAAACGTCGTGTGACGTGTATTTGATTTTTTTTTGTTTTTGATCGTTTATTAATTATTATTTTTTCCTTCATTACAGAACAGTAAAAATAGAATACTGATGTCTGATATGCATATTAGGAAAAAGAACACAAGCAGACGAAACAAAGATAAAATTAGCATCAAATAATAATAATTGGTTTTTTTTGCAGAAAAAAATGATATTAAAAAACAAAACACGAAGTCCATCATAATTAAAAATATTTAAGACTATTGTCGTGGTAAACCATGTTTTTTAACCATTTCTAATGCTTTACGATCGAATGCAGATCTATTGGATGAATATTCCTGACCAATTTCTATAAAAGATAATTTAAAAAAAAAAAATAATAATAATAATAAAAAGTTTTTAATAAATTACCTGGTTTAAGCGCATGATCAACACTTGGATTATCAATACGATCAACAACAGCTTTAACAATATCAACTAATGTTGTTGTTGGTTTGAAACCATCTGATGGATTAAGTATTTCAACACATATTTTACCTTCATCACCAACATTTGGATGATAAATAGGTGTAATAAAACGAACTTCGGGCGGTTTAAATGGAAATTCAGCTGGTAATTTAATTTCTATTTGAAATGCAGCTTGATTATAAATTTGTGATCGAGGAAAAATTCTTCCAAGAATTAGATTTGATCCTGGAGTATCTACAGGTGATTTATCAAGAAGAAATTTAGCAGATGATGGATTATTATCTGTTGCTAAATTTTGTAATTTTGTTATTTCAGTTATTATACGTTTTGTCTGTGGTGCTGCCATTTTTTTTTTAGTTTCTTGATCTAAAAGAAAACGAGAAATATCTGTTAATAATTATTCGTCCATTTTTTTTAAATACTCTATAAATTTTTACAATAGATTTTTCTTCAACATAGAACTCTATAGAGTTTACTATATGATTCATTGAGAAATTTGTAATTAATTTTATGAGTAGATTTTGTGTGAAATAAAATATTATTATTTTTAAAAGCAAGACAATATAATAAAAACTTACTTTTTTCTGAGTATGATGAGAGAGAAAAATGAATTCAATTAATAAAGATGGGTAAAATAAAACAACGAAATTTAAGCAAAGAGAAATAAAAACAAAAATATTATTTTGTTGGATTTTTCACTAAAAAACAAATGATTGTGCAAGTAACGAATGACGACCAGAATTCATCAACCAATAAAAAAATGTCGCTACATTCGTTGCTATTTATTTAAACTAAAGAATATCATCATAAACATTATCAACGTATTATTATTTGAGAACAAAAAAGAAAAAAAAGGTTGTACTTCAATTTCTTTTTGTTCTATTTTTTTTCATTACATCCTTTGTTTGTTTTTTTTTTATATCGAAACAAAACACGATTGAAGTGTCTGTAGGAAAGAAAGAGTAACTTTCCTATGTTTTAAATATTTAATTGATTTCTTCGAATAATCGATAGTTTTTTAGAACTTATGAAATCTTTCCGACAATAGAGTTAGCAGTTATTTATTTAATTTTCTCAAGTACATCTTTGATGTTGATAACTGAATTTCTGAAAAGATTCTAAAAATAGAATTGACTTCTCTATCTTACACGACAATATAATCTATTATTTTGAAGATATATTGACATGTTATTCTAGTTGCAAAACTAATAAATAGAAAAATGTCTGATTGTTAGAGATCTTATTTGATCTAACAGCTTTTCTGATAGAATCTAATGGAATGACAACAGTCAAACTTTGCCTTCTGAGTATATTTTTGGAATAACACAATGCATGGATTGTATAAACAGTTATCAGTGTAGTTCCATGAAGGACCAAAATATGGAACTCACAATAATCTATTCTACTAATTTATAAGATTCATTTAATATTTTTCTACTAAAAAAAAAACAAACTTATTTGTATTGTCAGATATATAGTTTCTTATCTCCTAATGATAAGATATAGGATATACATCCTAGGAAGTGGCAAATATCATTTTATTCTTTGTTTCGGCGGTTCAATTATCATATTAATTTGCAATACACATATAATTTAATCGTTCAAATAAGCTTTCGAACGCATCATCCTTTCTCTTAACGAAATTTTTGTATCTAAACTTTGAATTCAATTATCTCCATCGTACTCATTGACATCTCCAATAGGATCCTTTCGCTGCATTAAACACCATAACACACAATATTTACATTAGCTAGAATCTACAGTAGAAATCTTTGATTCATAGACTGCTTCAAACAGTGTTATTACTGACACGCCTTTTCTCATTGCTTGAAAATGTATTCAACAATCACTGGCATCTTTCCACCTCCGTTGGGGGTAGTGGAGCTCATTAGGTCCAAAATTTTTAGACCAGGACCAATCCGACTGACTCTCTCAGTGGGAGGACTTACAATTACTATTTTCTTTGAAGATATATGTGAGCTTTATCATCATTGTTAAATGAAAATTTATCATGGATAAAAACAACTGAGTGTATGTCTTTAGCTGAGTTTTATTTATATGAAGGACATTTATCAATATTGAATCAACCCGAGAAAGACAAAATGTGGAGTAGAAATTAAATTTGACGTAAGTTTTCCAACTTTGATAAATTAATGGAAGAAAAGAAAAGGAAAAATCATACTCGTTTGTTTTTTTCTTTTAGAAAAAATTTATGACTCATAATTTAATATTTATTCTTGTAAATTTCCGTGTTGACTAAATTTTCATTGATTAAAATATAAAACAAATAGAATAAAAAGAATAAGTAATTCTATTTAATCGTTTTCCTTTTTTTGAATACTATCATTGATTGTTTATCGAAGAGTAAATCAATTGCAATAACAATATTTTTGTAAGATTTAAGAGTGTAATATTTATGTTGATGTTATTCATTGAGATTCATCAGAAACCAATCAGAATAGTGTCATGATTGTTGACATTACACTGTTTGTTATAAATTATTGTTTGTTTTTGCTTACTATTTAAATGTACAATCTTGTGTTTTAATAAAAAAAAAACATTTTTTCATTTGGAACGTTAACAGGAATTTCTATTTTTCAGTGGCTTCATTTTCATATTATGAGATATGAAGTAAGTGATTGTTTTCTACAGCAAAATTTTATATTGCTATCTAATAACCGAATAAAGTAGGGAACAAGAATTTACGACATAGTTTTATTTTGTAAATAGTTTTACTTGAATACGAACTATAAACGACATTAAATAATAATTTCGATAGTTGTTAGAATAGGGCAAAAATATGACGAGGAAACTTCTCTAAATACTAAATTCTTTTTCTGATGTTCATTTGATAAGTGCGAGAGAGTAATAGAAAAGTCTAGAGAATGGTTTGGTTTTTTTTTGAATGTTCGTTCTAAAGATATAGAAATTTTATTGCGTTTTTCAACAAAAAACTGTAGCCACATGAAAAATCAACTTTCGAGTTACGACTTCAAACTTTATATGAACAAAGTTCTTTATGAGATTAGTTGATTGTGTAACTATTTAGTATTTCCTCTGTGGAGATATAAATACATAGCATAGTGAAAAAGTTTGTATACTTATACAAAGTATCTTATAGCATATGAATGTACATTAAGTTTAATTTTCAATCATCCGAACAACTACAAGCTTAAAGGAGCGAGGTCAGGAAAGTATGATGGATGAGTCATAAGTTTCATTTTTCTTTCTTCAAGATGAATAATAATGATATCATTCATATGTGATCTTGCATTATTATGATGCAACTTAATAATATTTGGTATTTATTAATGTTCCAGAAGGTAATCCATGAACAAGTAATGATTCATTTGTCATTAAAAAAAATAAGAAAGATTGTTTTTCTCTTTGAATGATTGTCTTTTTGATTTAATTTTGCAATAATAAATCTATGTTTCATCTTCTGTAACTATATTGCCCAATCTACAAGCACTACTTTCAAATTTCCATAAATTCTCAATAAAAATATCAATATGTCATTGCCGTTGTTCTTGATTGAGTTCATGAGTAGAGATGTTCGGGGAATTCCAACTCCGCCGCAATCGGAGTCAGGTTTACTGAAAAAATTTTTCGAAGTCGAAATTATAGCAACCTCTAATAAAATTTTGCTATTTGATACTACAATAACTTTATTCTTCATATTAACAAACATAATATTCGAAAGATCAACCTCATAAAAACATGATATCATTAATCAAAAAATATTTCAGTATTATCCAAAATACAATAATTCTCATCGTCACCAATTATCGATTGCTTGGTAGAGTCTTGCCATCAAGTCGACTAAATCTTATGCTAAAAATTTCGTTTTAGCACAGGAAATTTTCTTAATTGTAGATTTTATTCTCTGAGATTTACTATATAAACTGATGCATTTTGGAGGTTACAACGACGTGTTATTAAAACCTATGGACATAAAAGAAAGTCGAAATCGGAGTTGAACTTGACTTCGACTTTCTTTCATGTTCATAGATTTTGATAACATGTCGTTGAAACCTCCAAAACGCATAAGTTTATACAGTAAATACCAGAAAACAAAATCTACAATTCAAAAAATTTCCTGTGCTAAAGTGAAATTTTTAGTGTAAAATTTAGTTGACTCTGACGACGACTCCATGCAGGACTCTATTGTTTGAGCATAGTACATGTTGAATACTTCCTAGTTATTGTTTTTTTTTTATTTTCACTGCATAACAAATGAAAAAAGAAATTCAAAATTAATCTTTTAATGATTCATTGATTTTCTTTTATTTCTTTGCTTGTTTATCGATTTATACATGTTCAAAATTAAACAATAAAATACATTTAGAGGTCGTCTGCTTTCGAAAAAAAAAATTTCGGAGTCAGAACCGGAGTCAAAATATAGAAATTCTTGGAATCGGTTTTCGGAATAAAAGAACGTGACTCCGCAGGTCTCTATTTATGAGATACCAATCTTGATGATGCTTTTCGTCAGTCAAGGTATTGCTTGACAATAGTATCTACACTATCATTTGATAAATCTAAGATAGTAGCAATAGAATCAATGCTAATATGTGGATCATCATTCACCAGATCTTTAATAGCATCAACAGTTTATTGAATAATGACAATTATTACATGATCACTTCGGGAATCATCTTCCAAAGACTCTCGTCCACTTGAAACACCCGTATGAAATGAAATATAATGTTGTTCATAAGCAATAGTTAAATCATCATGAATTTGTGTGTTGCAGAAAGATCTAATAACAAAAACAAGTTTTCATATATGAACTTATATCGAGGAGAAAACGGCTGACTTTATTGAATTTCAAAGTCGTCAGAATCATTAAAATCAAGATACATAAAGGATAGAATAAAAGAAAAGTTGAATGAAAATTATACGAACAAGCACATATCATAGTAAATTTTCGAAAAAAAAAATCGTGATAAATTAAGTGTAGATATTAAACATCATAAACCTTTTCATTTGACAATATCAACGTTGAAATTTCTTTTATTTAGCCATTACACAGTGAAAAATTTTAATTGTTCTCATTTTTCATTGGATTATTATATGTTAATCTGCATCAATCTATTATTACTTGTTAATCAGGTTTTTAACTATTATCACTTCTTAATCGATTTTAATATGTGATTGGTAATTGATTTTAATAATACATATTGAAGATGAGCACTTTTCTCGAGATCTGAACGCGATATCCAAATATTTCATGCTTGCTCATGTTTAGAAACCATGCAGTTGTCACCAAGATAAACTTCAGCAAATGAAGTAAATCTGAAACTATTATATAAATTGTTTCAAATTGAGATGATACTATCACAT